CCCCAGTGCCCCACCCACCCTGTGGCTCCCCACCCGGCAGCTCTGCCCAGATGACCCCTCACTCAGGGGTCCTACCTGGTGACCCGTACAATGCCTCCAGCCCCCTTCCAGAGATTAAGGGCATCCAAGTGGGTGCTGTCTTTTCTCAAGTTTACTCCCCAAATTTGGTACAAGTCTTGGCCTAGTGATTCAAAAGGCCAAGCAAATCCCTAATAGGATAAACTTGGGGAAACCCACTCCGTGACACATGATCATTGAAAACACAAGACAATGGTGAGTAGTGGAAGTGCTCTGGGACCCCTGACTGAAACGACAGACTTCTCACCTAAACAGAGCCCTGAAGGAGCAGCACGATTTTCCAAGTGCTGARAGGAGTGTCAGGTGTGCCTCTGCACTCGGTGGAACATCCTCAGGAAGGAAGGCCAAGGAAGCAGAGCCAGAAGAAGGGAACAGAGCAGCCAGGACCTGCCCCGGAGGAACAGCTAGGGACCATTTCTCTGGGGACTTCAGAAAGACGAGACCCAGGCTGCAGCCAAGAGCAGAGCACACATATCTGACAGCCTTCCCCACATGAGTTCTGTGAGTCGTACCTGGTGAAAGCAGCATGGCACCACCTTGCGAGACAGAGCCAGCAGAGAGACACTTGGGACCAGAGTGACCAGAGCAGCAGGCCTCTCCTCCCCTGAAGGAGGAGCCCATCCAGGCCCGTCAGCTCACACACACACACACACACACACACACACACACACACACACATCAGAGCCACACTGAGAGAAACCCAGAGAGCTGTGCATGCGAAATACCACGGGGAAACCAGGATGGACATTGGCACAATGGTCTGCGCTGCAGGAAGGCAAGAAGAGCGGCAGAGCCATTGGGGCATCGAGACACAAAGACGATGCAGAGGCACTGAAGCTGGCAAATCAGCGGTTTAAATGTGAGCAGTCTACGTACGCCAGTTAGGAGACGGAGGACACCCTAACCTCACCTCCAGGACTCTAGAGCATCCTGCACAGGGTGGGCTCCAAATGGCCGGTGCCTCCAGAATCAGTGGACACTGGCAGCACTGGCACTTAAGTGCAGCCACCCACTGGGACTGAATGCAGGCAGTGCCCACCCCTCTTCTGTTCTGATGACACCCTTGCTGTGTATGCACAGGGGAGTCATGCTGGAGATGCAGGAGCAAAGCCAGGAACGACCTGGGAGACGCACCCTTCCCACGGCAGCAGATCTACAGGTCAGCAAACTGCCCTCCACCCTTCAACACAGCTCCTATGGGGAAAAGAGGAGACAGTCACTGCCTTATTCAAGACCCAGTGACCAGGCACACACATGCCAACGAGCAGCTCATGGCTCCTGTGGGAGCAAGGCTATTTCACACCAGGAGCACACGACCGGCACAGTGTCCAGCTCAGAGCAGCATCCCAGTGGTTATCAAAGGCTGCTGCCAACAAGCAGGTTTGTGGTGTCTTCTCCTCTAGAACCTGGAGACTACAAAAGATTTCTAAAGAGCAGGAAGCAGACACTGAGGATCTAAAGAAATCCTCCTTCCTCATGGTTTGGTAGAGAGCAGAAATACAGCAGGTCCTTGAAGGCCTCTAAGAGTCTTGATGACTTAAAGAATAGAAACTAGCCTGAGCTTCATAGCAAGGCTGTACACTCACATGTAACATGTAAAATCTGCAGGGCACACTGTATAGGACATGTCTCACTGGTATATGAAAATTTTTAAATTATTTTTGTCTATTAAAGTAGTACAATGATACATTTCTTTTACAATTCTTTCCCCACAAGCATCATTTTTTTTTTCAAATAAATAAAATCAACCTAGTTTTCCACACATTAGAGGAAATAATCTCTAGGAAATAGATTTCTCCTGGAAACTTGACTCTGATGTTAGCTAAAAGACCCTGAAAAAATAAATTCTC